TGGTTCATGGCATGCCCTGACTAACCTTCCACATGCCCGCACTCGGTATCAACACTCTGAAGGCCTTCGACAAGTCTTGCGAGCAGTCTCCCTGAATCCGAAGATCCTGCTGAACCCAGAAACCCCAAGCCTCTACCCTAAGCCTCTAAATCCCTAAACCCTAAACCCCTAATCCCTAAACCCCTAAACCCCTAAGCCCCAAACCCCAAATCCTAAACCCTAACCCATACACCCCAAACCCTAAATCCTAAACCCTAACCCATACACCCCAAACCCTAAATCCTAAACCCCAACCCATACACCCCAAACCCTTAACAACCCCACTTTTCGGCCCTGAACCTGCCAGTATGCCAGTAGGTCCTACACAGGCAATTACAGGAAGGATCATGTTGAGCCTCTTTCAGGTTTAGGGTTTAGGGTTTGGGGTTTGGGGTTTAGGGTTTAGGGTTTAGGGTTGAGGGACAAGCCATGATCATCGACATCATCTGGCCCTAATAACCCGAAAAAGCCCGCGGAACCATGACTAGTCTCAGCAGATCATTAGTATTATTACCACAAAGGGATCTATGGTAAGTAAGATGCTCTTCTGTTTTTCGTACTTCTGAGCAAATCATGAAAAATAGTACTACTTCGCTTGTTCTTACCCTTCACTTGTCCTGGGGCCCGATCAGCATCCTGCCACATCGGATCGCTCTCCTGGCCGTTCGGACGGAAGCGGGTTTTGGGTTAGGGTTAATTCTTTTTTATGTGTAGTGGCACCCCCTTTCTCAAGCAGCACCTACCGCTAGGGTTAAGTTTAGGGTTTAGGGTTTAAGGGAGGTCGGGTTTGGCTTCGGGGTACGATCGAGATACCCCCCGACCACTAAACTTCAGAGCCCAGAAGTATTGTAGATGTTGTCTGCGTCTGCCGGATCTGCTGGCAAGGTTGTTGATGGTTTACGAAGGGCTTGATAGAAGCTTCATGGGATTTAGAGTTCGTGCCTCAGGCAGAGTTTGCGTCAGCGTTTTAGGGCTTGTGGTGCGCTCGAATTCCAGGCCCTGGCGCAAGCAACGCCGGCTTCACCCGCATGGAGAGGTCCACAACCGCTCGGCCGGAGAAGCGCGCAAAGACCTGATTCCAACCTTGCGCAGTGTACTGCAGGGGCCTTAAATGACTAGAATAGGGTTTTGGGGTATATAATACTAGAACTATAGTAAGGAACCCCCAAAATAGTATAGGTAATTCTTAAGGCCCCTATAGTACGTCAGGTTTCCGGAATAGCCTTGGAGTCCGGATCCGGGTTTGGGGCTTTGGCAGGATCTTGGAGTCTTCATTCAAGCTCCTGGCAAGCATGAGGTGTAAGAGTCGCTACTTACAAGCTGTAAAGCGGGGTGAGGGTTCATCCTAAACCCTAAAACCCCGAACCCTCAACTTTGAAACTCTAAATACCCTAAACCCTGAACCCTAAAAAGTGTATTTGCAGGATGCAGAGAGCTAGAGGCCTCACGCCAAGCCCGACGTGTCGCTATCCCGTGAAGTCACAACTTGTGCCCCCTTCCGGATGATCTATGAAACGAGCATGATCAAAAACAGCCTCAACCCCATCAACTCAGACTTCCAGGAACCAGAAGCCCAATCTCAGTCTACAGTTCAGCCATGTTCAGCCATCATACATCCTCATACCAGCAAGGACAAGTGGAGAACCGGGGCTTGCCCTCAAGCCCTACCTCGCAAAGCGAGAAACGCTGAAGTTTTGGGCGGCCACTTGCAGCCCCGAAGTTGCCAAGGAGCCCCAGGCGTTCGGGTTGGCGAGTTCCGGCTCCAACGCGGCCATGATGGCGTTGGGCAGACCTTGTGGCGTTTGGGCAACGACCAAAGCTACCACTGCTACGAATAATGCTGCTCGACCACCTGCTACTGCTCCTGACACTGCTACTGCCTCTGCTGCTCGACCGCGACTGCGACTGCTGGTTCTTCTTCTTCTACTTCTGTGACAAACCACTAATGCTGCTGCTGCTACTACTACTACTGCTGCTGCTGCCACCACTACTACTACTACTACTACTACTACTACTACTACGACTACTACTACTACTACTACCACCACCACCGCTACTTTTGCTACTCCTTTGCACAACGCAATAGGCTGCCGCGAAGTGCCAGAAGCAAGTTCCAGTACAGGGAGTAGTGCGAAAGTTCCGCGTAAGTGTTGTCAAAGTCGACACAGCCAGATCTTGACAAGGGCTAATTGTACGTGCGAAGCCTTGAAACCCATGCGAAGCATTGCAGAAGCTCTTAATTCATCTGGCAGAGACTCTTAATTCTCCCATTGACAAACTCTCAGAGAGCTTTGCGAAAGCCTTTCAGACACCTTCGAGACGCAATGGCTGAAGTTTGAGTAGCTCGTAAACATGCCCTTCGAAACTGTAAGAAACGTTTGAATGGCTTTTACTGGCTCTGCAAGAAGTTCCAAGACACCGCCTAGAAGGGCTCTCGCCAGCCCCCGAAGAGTTCGTGCTCAATTGGGGATAAAAAGATGGTGTTGCAAAAGTATTTTGCATGCGAAGGCGGTCATTCCTAGATGAAGAAACTTAGATCAACAACCACGTCTATATTGACATGCCCCCCACCCGCACCCCAATCCCCGTCCGCCTATGTTTGCCGGGTCTAAGGCATGTGTGCTCACACCATTTCACACCCCGTTAAGAGAGAGCTGGTTAAAGAATGGGTGTCGTCGCCGAATGAGGCTGCGGGTTGAAGAAGTTTGTGGCCATCGCTCGATGGGGGGGGGGGGGCGGGTTGAAGAAATGTGTGAGCACACGCCATCCGCTAAGGAGGAGACGATTTGAAGAAGTATGATCACCGGTCATCGACGAACGAGGGGGCATGTTGAAGAAGTGCGAGCTTCACAGGCCATCGCCTGATGAGGCGGCGCGTTTAACAACTGGGGGGGAGGGGGGGGGCGGATTGAAGAAACGTGTGATCACCAGACATCGCCTAGTATCGCCTATTGAGGGGCCGGGTTTCATAAAGATGTGCCGTTGCCTGATCAGGGGGCAGGTTAAGGCATGTGATCAACCGCGATCGCCTATCGAGGGGCGGGGCCTAAGACATGACATGTGCGAGCACCCGCCATGGCCTAATGAGGGGGTGGGCTCACTTACGCATACATGGGTGTGTCGGTGTGTGTCTGTACATGTATACGTATAGGTATATGTATACGTAAATATATGTATAGCGATACGTATACTGTATCTTTTCGCATATGTATACCTATACACTTAGGCGTAGGTCTGGGTTTCGGTATTGGTATAGGTATGTGTATATGTTTCTGTACTGCCACATACCTGTTTGTATGTACCCATGTATGTATGTGATTTCCTTTTTATGTGTGTATGCACGTATGTACGTATGTGCGTATGTCTGTGTGTATGTACGTACGTACGCATGTATGCATGTATGCATGCATGCGTGTGTATCTGTGCATGGGGTGTATCTGTGCACGTATGTGTATGTATGTATGTATGTATGTATGTATTTATGTATGCATGTATGTTTGTTTGTTTGTATGTATGCATGTATGTATGTAGGTATGTATATGTATATGTATATGTATATGTATATGTATATGTATATGTATATGTATGTGTGCATGCATGTATGCATGTATGTATTTGTGCTTGTATGTATGTATGTATGTATGTATGTATGTATGTATGTATGTATGTATGTAATTATGTATGTATGTATGTATGTATGTATGTATGTATGTATGTCAGTGTATGTATGAGTGTATAATTGTATGATATGTATTTAGGTAGTGGTGTGTCTGTCTGTCTGTCTGTCTGTCTGTCTGTCTAGCTTATCTATGTATGCAGGCATGCTCAGATGTATGTATGTGTACATGTGTAGGTATGCATGTATGTATGTATGCATGCACGCATGCATGCTTGCATGTGGACACATACGGCAGCCAGGCCGGCAGGCAGGCAGGCAGGTAGGTGGGCAGGTCCGTCGGTTCGTCGGTCGGTCGGTGTCGGTAGGTATGTCGGACATGAATGTATGTAATGAATGTACGAGCATCAGTTCCGCTCGGGTGGAGGGGTCTGGGCGGCTCGATGCTAGACAAGCGAGCTTCCACGGCTTCACATTCCGAGGTTCACATTAAACCACAGCGTCTTCAAGGGGAGCCAACTGGACGACTGCGCTTGGAGGCATGGTTTGGTTGCTCGAGGGAGCTCCAATAGCAAACCGAATCCAAGCCATCATGCTGTTGTTCGTGTTGCGGCCATTGAGGGCACTGTTTCCAAGGAGGCTGTCAAGAGCGAGCGCTAACGACCATGCCATAAAGGTGGCCAGTGAGAGTGATGCGCAGATGATCGGAAGATGCTCGCCTCAGCCCTCAGCTGCTAGACTTTCGGAAGTTTGAAAGTTTAACCGGCCATGAGTCAGGAGGAGTATAAGAAAATAGTGTTCACATTCGGGAATTCTCTCTGGGATTTTCTAAGGGCATATTAGCATGAAATATCAGACGGGAGGAGCATTCCGTCCAAGCAGTTTCGTGTTGATTTTCAAGCCGTGGCGGCAATTGACATGAAAGGGCTTCTGAAGGCTTCCGAAGAGCTCAAGTCGCTTCCTGAGAAGCCGGGTCCGAGGTGCAACTTGACACGGGCCCCGAACCCCGACGGATCGGAGAGCCGGGTCGTGGTCGACTGGTACTACGGCGAGGCTACTGTGAGTTTCCAAGCGAAGAGCAAAACCTCCTGCACCTTGCAGTCACGGTGATTCGTGCGACGTGCCTAGGGCTTGCAGCTTAGCACACTGAGGTCCTCGCTGGCATCAAGTGCTAGTTCATGAATTGGGAGTGTGTCCGTCTATGCCTCCATGGTCATGCAACATGCAGGGATGCATACGCGCCGTGCACAGGCTTTCTCCTAAAGTGGACCTCGTAGCGGCACCATTACACGGCATGCATCATCGGTAAGAATTGCAAACCTTGAGTTTGCAGGTGATAAACGGCATGGTGCCAAGACACTTCGAGATGTCCAAGGTGCCATTCAGCAGTCTTGGGTTGACGGCATTTACCTGACGGTGGAGACCGTAATGGTAGTCGGATAAGAACCCAGGCTCTCACAACACAGTTTGCTTACCGTCCACGGGCACGTGTTCCTGCAACTTCCTTGCACAGTGTTGGCGTTGCTGGAAGCGTTTGCTTCGGTGTCTTTGCTTTTCTGTGGAGAACCACGCATCGGATCAGAGCTCCGCTGCCTCTCCGAGCGGTATTCAAGGAGTGCTGTCAGTGAACATTGCTAACCCGGAGTATCAGAGTTGGTGGCGGTTTCTTCAACAAACTCGTCAGTGAGACAATTCTGCCTATGTTCAGTTGTAAGAGCTTTCAATCTTTTCTTGTTCGCCCATAGCTGTGCCTGAGTTGGTACAGAACCCGAACAAAAAGCTACGATTGCAGGGGTTGGGAGCTGTTCCAAATTCATGCTTCAGTTTGTTCAAGAGAGCTCCTGCTAGATCCTCAAAGACGAGAGCGCCAGTGCGAACGTGCTGGCCGGTGGCTGAGAGAAGGGAGCTGCCAAAGCCCAAAGCTTTCCTTGGATTGCATGCGTAATGCCAGCGATACGCAGTAGAGGTTTCTGGATTGTTTGCGACCCTCGTTCAGCCAGTTTGGGCTACTGCTTGTGCTCCCAGGAAGTTTTGCTCAGAGGGGAGATTATGCGGCCCGGTTCCACTTGGTGTGGACCTAAGAGCAAGGGTGGATGTGCTGAGGGAGGAGACACGGTCAGAACCTACAGAGTTCTGGAAGTCGCAATCCTTTCTGCCCACTCCAGAGACATGCCACCCACGTTCTTCTAAACTCTGCCATCGCTCTTGGAAGAGGTTTACCCGGGCGTGGCTTAAGGGGGTATCACAAAGCCGCACTTCCAAGAACTTCCAGGAATGACGGTGGCAAGTAACAATTTTGAGACTCGTCGCGGTCGACAGGCCGACTAAGCTTAAGCTGCATTCAACAGCTTTTGTTTTAGGACATGGCCGTTGGATACTGTGCTCATCTTGATCGTTGGTATCTGTATCAGATAGGGCTATTTTGACGCAGCAGGCTGTAGGTCTGTAGTGGCTTACGGAAACCGTTGCCGTCACTGCAAAGGAAGTTTTCCGCTCGTGTTGCCTATGCTGTGCACTCGGAGAACGAGGCGAGACAGTAGCTTCTGCTTCTTTACAAGCTGCAGACATACTCGTTAACAATTTCCTCCGGAGCACAACTACCTAAATACTCTTCAGGGGCTTAAGTATGGCCGGAATGAGGGCTTTCAGGGTCGAGATGTGCGGCGTGCATATGGGCAAGGTCTGCATGGGGCAGTCTCCACGTGATGTTTCTAGGGCTATAGGATTCAGGCCCACATGCATGACCTCGGCAACACACGGGGAATCTGCTGCAGGGTTGAGTTTCTGGGTCCAGAGGTTCGGCTCGACACAGGCACCCTGGAACTGTTCGAGGACTCTTCGAGGATCCTTCCGTTCGAGAACCGTTCGAGGACTCTTGGAAGACCCTGAAACTGTTTGCGATGGCATTTTCGGGGTCTGCAGATGGTCCTCGAACGGTTCTCGAAATTCCGAAAGGTTCTCGAACGGTCCTCGAACGGTGATCGAACGGTTCTCGAAGAGTTCCCAACGGATCGTCGAAGGGTCCTCGAACGGTCCTTGAACGATCCCCGAATGATCACCGTCTGATCCTTGAACTGTCTTGGCAGGGTCCTCTAAGTCTCTGTAGGGTCCCTGACCCATGTGCCGCACCTCCCCACAAACCCAACGGACCCGGCTGCTGACATGTTTGCACCTGTCCGCGCCCAGGTGCTGCACCTACCCGCGCCCCGCCCCCCTGTCGACCCAGGAAAGTACTGAGAGTTCTTCCACGCACGCCTTCACAAGATATTCGGATGTACCCATCGTTTGAATCCCAGAACGTGGCCCACGCGTCACGCGTCCCAGGCTTCTCAGTGCCCTAGCGTCACTTCAACCTCTAAGCTCAAATGACAAAATCCCCCTGGGGCCTACAGCTACGTACATCGTCTTCATTCATCTCTACTGCCTGCTGTTCGGCGTGCGGACATCAAGCCCATTCAGCTGTGCAGGGCTCCTATGTTCCGTTCACGATCACTGTGGGGGACCTCGAGCCACCCGTGGCCAAGCCCCAAGGTTGTGTTACTGCTTGGCTTGCAGTGGAGCCACGGCTTCAGAGACTGGGTTTCGGTTTCGTTCGCACTTGCTGAGGCCACCCTCGTGGGACCCCACCGTGCAAACAACGACGACTGCTCCTTTGCACTGGACGCTTCCGATAGTCGCTTGGATCGTTCCATCCAACTTTCGGCTTGCGAAGTCTGTCCCACGTCAGTACTTCGCAGAGCCACAAGAAAAGTTGTCATATTGGCATCGGCTGGCGATGATCTGAAGACGTGCCTAGGGAAGTAGATGAACTCGCATTGCACTCGAGCGAAGGCATGGCGCGTGAGCTCATGTTCACGACGGAGACGTTGGGCCGCCGTCTTCAGGCCATGAGAGACTCGGAAAGGGCCTTCTACTTCCGGCTTGGTTTTGAGACACCTCTGCCATCCTCTGCCTCTGAGTGTTCGGACGAAACAATACGAGAGCTCGCCGAAGTTCACAGTCAATCTGATGTCAATCTGAGTCGACCCGTGCTTGAGGCAAACCAGACACCTCCGACCCAGGCATCGGGCGATACCTTTACATGTAACCTGTGCCATCATGTTTGAATTGCCAGAGTTTCAACAGTGGGACATGTACCGTAAACCTCCAAGCCACCGGCCAGCTGTATTAGGAGGCAGGCAGAAGTGGCATCCGCACGAAGCCTGTTTTATTCTTAGCGCTCGCACAAGGTATGCGGTGCAGGCTACGATGCCACAAGACTATTGACAATCTTCAGCTGCATCCAACCTCAATGAAGCTCGAAATCGTCCGCGCGAGGCGCCGGTGATGGGCCTGCAGTATTCGCTGTGTCCTCGGATCGTGCAGTGCTTCCGCGGCAACCTCGCCTGCTTTTGAACTAAGAGTTGTAGGACCATTGTAGATGCGCCTGGCGGGTGTTTGCATGGGCAAGCAGTATGATATCTTGGGCCCTGCCATGCCCCCTCACACAACGTCTGGACATGCTGTGCAAAATTTTCAGGTGGCGAGTCCGCCAGTTGGCACTGGGAACCGACGATGCCCTTGTGTACTCTGTCACTGGCCTGCACGAGAAGAGCTGATTCTTGTGTGCCTAAGCTTAAGGAATTGTCGGCCTTGATTCCACCTCGTGAGCGCACGTGTCTGCTCCAGGGGTCGTTGGCACTCTCCGCACGAGGCGATGAAACAAGAGAATGTGGACCAGTCAGTGGTGCGCAATGCGAGGTCCCCAATGTTGCCTTGGCCTTGATCGATCTCGAAGCTTTCACGGGCTCGCAGCTGCTGGTTCCGCAGGCCAAGATGGTTGGGATCGTTTGGGGTGTCTATGAAGCGAAAGTTGTGTCACTAGCTTAGCATGCTCTGGTAGTATGATGGAGCGCAAAGTCGTGTTTGCAACTGTGAATCGGGCATGGTATGTGCACAGAGATTTTCATACGTGAGACTTTAGACAGCACTTGTCATGTCATGCATCCTAGGCTTCAGCAGCACTGAGGATGCGATTCTAGCGCCTGCTGGAATTACGAATGTGAACACTCATGCTTTCTCGCATGTGTGCGGATGTGGATGAGTTCTCGACTACTGTAGAACACATCGGGCCCCGTTTCCCCCAACCCTGGCAATGCGATGGTCTTTGGAGCCTAAGAAATAGTAAGAATTATAAAGAAATGTTGAAATATTTGCACTGCATCATACCACGCCGAAGCAGATCCATGGACATTCTCGGATGTTTGACGCGAGAAACTGCGCCTTTGAATTGCCTAACCAGGCGATCCTGCCAGAAGGCCGTGCGCTAAAAGGGAGTGTCATTCTACAGACGTCCAGATGTAGGAACGGGTTGTCATTGTGGGTGACTGCCTTGGGGGGGGCTCCGCTTTCTCCATGCTCAGTTAATCAGTTTGATGGAACCAGATTCGGAGCGGATTCGCACCCCGCCTTACCGCGGAGGTGAGGCGCTGGGGCAGGTTTGCACTGCTCCTTGCTGACACTTAGGAACCTGATGTGTCTTTCCCATTTGCTTCAGTGCTGCTTACAGCTGCCATCAGCTTCCCAGGCCTCTACGTCTTCACTGTGGAGGTCCATGATGCTCTCTATCCCAGTTCCCTGCTTGGAGACTAGACGAGCCTGTCTTTTGGTGTAATGTCGGCATCGCGAATTCTCATGCGTGCATACAACATTGCAAATCTGGCTGGCGCTGCAGGCTTAGTCTCATCTGCCAGTGCCACAGTGATGGTGGACAAGAAGGACAGAACACGCTACTTGTGAATCGCGTTTGAATGGCATGCCATTCCAGGTGTTCATTCGTGGTAGCAAGCTCATCTGCGTGTGGTTTACCTGGCTTCTCTGCCGGCTCAGAGCGAAGACCATGTTGGCGATGCCCGAGCATAAACAGCGGTGCACTTCATCACATGGCTTGGTGGTCTCATGGCTTCATGTTTGTTCAGTGATTCTGCACTCACATGGTGCACCGCATCATGAAGATTGCTGGCGGTCGGGAGGCTGACGTCCCTGTGATCAGTGTGGATAGTCCCAGCGGGACGGTCGGTCCGACGGGTTCGGCTTCTCCCCGAGAGGTGTTTCTGGCAGGAAATGCTTTTCGGATCTTGCCGTGCCCAGATGTGCCCAGGTTCAGGCCATCTTCAAACAGGTGGGCTTTGGCGCATGCGTGGCTTCGCTCTCAGGAAGCTGCAAGGCAAGCATCGGCTTGGGTTTGAGTTACAACTACTAAACGAAGTCCCGGCATTGCTTTCTGCCGCCGTGGGGCACAGCTGGCCTGGCTCTACAGAAGCCTCGCCGCCTGAGAGTAACACATGCCGAAAAGCCGTCCAACCTCGCTCCGTATGTCTCCCACACTCGGCATGCTCGAGGTTCCCACGGTGGACATGGAAGGTACACATGCACGGACGACGTTGGCTGCCTGGTTTCTCCTGACAGGTTGACGGTGGCTGACGATCTCTGACAGTCAGACTCTGCTTGCGCAGTCGCCGGTGCTGAGGATCCTTCTGATGCGTGGCATCTTGGGCCAGCCGCGAAATTACATGAGGGCATACAACGAGGCAGGGCTTCAGACATGGTACAGCGGTACAGCAACACAGAAGAGTGCTGCTAGGTTACATTCTGTGTACATTTCTCACACCTGACTTTGGCAGCTCACCTTCACCAACCGAGTCAAGGCGCGGCGGAATGGGCATGGTATGCGAGTTTTGCTGCTCGTTAACCTGTTAGGTTAGATTCAGGTCGTGAAAGGCATGCATTTCCCATTTCATTGCCAGGACATGGCTGGCGGTGTTGCCAACTCGCCCGTCCCCAAGTCGACATGGAGTCCTTGCTTGGCCAGCGTAGAGTTCAAGGCTTTGGCTGTACGTTGAAGCAGACCGGAGCGATCTCGAGAAGGGCTTCATCTACTCTTACAGGCCAGGCCAAGGGCACTCACGCCGAAAGCTGCTGTGTCTCTGCGCAGGCTGCTTACAGCGGGGCCGGAAGCTCAGCTCTCTGGCTGATGTTGACTGACTTTGGCTCGCCTTTGCGTCACCAAGGCGGAAGAAAGCCTTCGAGCTCACGGCATACAAGGCTTCCTCCTGCATTTGCGGTGCTATGTGGTGCTGCAAGTGGCCATTTCGACTTCCAGCCCTGCCTTATCAAGGAGAAGCTGTTGGCGGCCGGCAAAGATTCGATGACTGAAGCTGCCTCAGTTCTTTGTGTCGTGAAACACGCCGTTGGTGTTGCAAGTGCAAGCCAGAGCGAGTGCTGTTATGCGATTCTCTTGCAGCGCTGCGGCCGCTTGGGCTCGGCTCATCGAAATGCCTAAGGCCGCAGGGCGCCACATGGACACGGAACCCGCCACGGATCCGCAAAAGCCTCGGGTCGGACGCGTGTTTGCGGAGTTTACAGGACGAACGTCCTCCCCCCCGCCTGGTCGTGGCCACAAAGCTGGGCTCAGAAGACTAGATAAAAATACACACCGACGATGCAAAGAGCAAAAACTTAGATTTTAAATCTTAAATGTTCGATACGCCCCCCCCCCCCCCCCCCCGCAGCACCACCCACCCCTGCCCTTGCATCTAGCCTTCTGGTGCTGTGCCTCACTCTCTCTAGGTCTCTCTCCCTGTCTCTCTCTCTCTCTCTCTCTCTCTCTCTCTCTCCCCTGTACTTCCTCCCTCTCACTTCATCTCCGTCCCTCCCTTCCCCCTCCCTCGCTCAGCTCTCTCGCTCATTCCTGCTTCTTCTCTCCCTCACTCCCTGTAGAATCCTTCTGCGGTAGCCTACTCAGGGTGGATCTTGGCATTCTCCAAGTGGACTCGGACTGCCCCGAGAGCACTTGCCTGCTGCCTCTGATTTTTCAGAACCTCTCCATATCGTCTGCATCACTTCGTGCAGGAAGTGTTCAACATCCCTTGGGGCCCGACAGCTGGCAGTTTGGACGTGCTGGGGCCTTCGGTACGTTGGCATAGTGATCGTTCGGTTAAGTCACCTGTTTGGCCGGACTCGGCCGTGCTCTGAATTCACAGGCTCGACCCTGTGGGACGCATTGGAATCGCCATGTCGGTCGGGGTCCTAGTGTCCTTAAGTTATGAGCTGATTTCGTTGGGGGCATTCCATTCCAGGAAATCTTTTGCAAGACAGCTGCGGATCCAGTTGCGAGAAATATTTGGATGGTTGTGTTTCACCACGCACCAAGCGGATTGACCTTCTGCTGAGGATGTGTTTCGTCTCCAGCAAGCATGGGCCACGGACGTCCTGGTCTCAGCATATGTATCCGCGCGAGTAGCTAATAGAAAAGTTTGATGCCGGCTTCTTTGTTGATGATGGGTTCTCCTGTCCTGCAGCATGCATTGCTGTTGCGAACAAAGCCGACTGCAGAACCCGCCGCTGGAGTACACCTTCTACTACGGAGAGGCAGGAACCGCCGTTCATAGGCTGAAAACCAATTGGAAGCTATATTATCTGGCTCACCACACATACATCACCCGCTGCCATTGGAATCAGGTGTCCCTTCCGAGTTTGTTGTCGAGTCGTAGCCGCAATGTAGTTGCATCACACGGCAAACGACCATATCAGCTGCCGGCCCCATTGGCATCTGGCGTCGACCAAAGTGAGCGTACAGTACAACATATGCTGCATTGTGCTCCTTCCAATGCAATCCGAGTGCTTAGCACGACGAAGTGCCAGGCACATGCTTTTAATCTGGAGTCATGCAATCTGGAGTCATGCAGCTGCGGTATTGCTGCGTATGCAGAAGCATGACTAGCAGGTGTGCTATGGTTTGATGGGCCGTGTAACAACTGGCAAACTCCAGTGCCCTTAAAGGTTGATTCGTGCACTGGCCATTCGAGCACTGCGATTCAAGCACGCGCGATTCAAGCACTCCCACGTGTCAGTGGAGGGCTTAGGGCCAGAGTCTGCGGGTTGCAAGTTTCGGGTAAGCCCGTCGGGTTGTGAATTCATCTACAGAGATTTAGCGGTTGGGGTATAACCAGGGCATGAGAGCCAAGTGTGTAGGGTTTTTAGGGCTTGAGGGTTTAGGGTGGGGTCTAGGGCCTTTAAGGTTTATCGGGGTTTCGGTTTAGAGTTGCTTGGATGTTCGGTCGGTATCTCGACAGAAACGACAGGTCCCGGAGGAAAGGCGCGACCAATACCTGGTGCCCGCCTCACGCAGAAAGTCTTCTGGGCATTCCCAGTCGAGTCATTCTTCGTGAGAAAAGGATGAATGAAGAAAGCGAGGAAGGTCGAAGCCTCAAAGTCGAGGTCGAGCTCCGGAATTTTGAGACTGACATTTTCACGGATCAACGACTGCCGGATCCCAAGTAAGTCTGGGGCGCTCACAAACGGAAATGTCATTGGCTGCAGCCTCAAGTAGTGCTTAGTGCAACTGTCGCCGCCGTTCATCACCCTGAGACTTTGCACTTTGCCATGGTTCGTGAGCCTTTTCCCAAAATTAGAGCCAGCTGCAACAGCCCCTAATCATGGTGCTAAGATGTGCTAAGCCTGCTAAGCTTGTTCAGAACTTCATAGCAAATCAACCTACGCTTCGAACACCTTCATACTCGACAACTAGGACAACTTCTCCCCTGTCTAATGCTTGGATGACAAACCACAAGCACTGAACCAATGAAATTTCTGAAGTGACTTCGTGGCAGCCAGCAGACAGACTCTGGTCGGCGAACGGGATTGAAGGCATGGTTTCTTTTCGGGGACCAGCAATGTTTTGCCGAATCCGGGTTTGGCGAGGTTCTCCCTCGTCCCGGACGGAGCAATGGTGCCGCTTAGCGTCAGCTTCTCAGCATCTGCGAATAGCGACGCTTGGTTCTTTGGATCTTGGGTCGAGCAGAACACATCAGAATGCGATATGCTTGTTAAGTTTCTGGGTGTAACAGTGGAAGTTTTCGGCGCTTGGTAGTTCCAAGGATTGGTCAATGTCACCCACGCTCGCACTGCGGAGGACTCAGCTCGAGAAGAGAGCGGAAGCGACATACGTCCCGGAGACAATCAATGACAGTAAATACTGAGGATACGATGTGGAGCGGAGGGCTTTAAATTGAAGCCTCATCAGCAGGATGCTATTCTGGGATGGCGGACAATGTTGCGTTGCCAAGGCCATTGAAGCAAGGCATGTATGTCTTCGAGGGCTGGGGGCTGAGCCTCGGATCGGAAGTCCGAAGTCCAGATCAGAGTGGAGCTGAGCTTTGACTCTCCGCCATCTTGTTCTGCAGTCAGTGCGGGTTGTTGATTCGATCAGCACAAATCAACCTGGTTGAGGCCGAGCGCGAGATGCCAGTGGGGTTGAGGCCATGTATTGCATTCGTTCCAGAGTGCGCGAGGTTTCTAGACTCTAGAATGCTCCACAGACAACCCACCATTCCAGACTCTCCCAAAACCGCTTAGGGATGCTGTGCCCATCGGACCTTTGTAGCTCCACAGCTTGGAGACGTGGCCTGAATCCTAGCCTCCCTTCGCACCTCTCAACATTGAGCCCGAAACACAACTCGAACCAACCCCTTAACCTCTTCCGTTTGCAGACTGCCTTCCCGGCTGGCCCCAATCCCCACACCAGCACTACCCCCCAAAGCACTCCTGCCGTCTCGCCCCATGTCAATCCGCAACCTGAATCCGTAGCGGATGCACGTGTCTGTTTCTCTCCCTATCTCTTCGTCTCCCCTCGTCTGTCCGTCCCGTCCCCTCTGTCCCTTCCTCCCCTCCTCGCCTCTCAGCCTCTCGCCATGTGTCTCTGTTTTTGTCTTCTTCCGTCACCAGTTCTGGCTGACTCAGAAGCCTGAGCTGACCTGACCGTGGAGGCTAAACGGTACTCTGTTGCTTGGTCACATCCGGCAGGGACCCCGTTGCTGAAGAGTGCCGGCTTGCAAGCCGACTCTCGAATGGCAGAGTCAACTTAGAGCCTCATCATCAGGAAAAGGTATTGCTTTGCTTGATGAAGCCAATACATGAGTGGAGGGCGGAATACTCAGCTGGCAAGAACACGGTTCCGTAATGAATGCTAGCACGAGCAGCATTGTGCCAGCGAGGCATGCCGCCAGTTAGTTGCTGTGCCAACGGTGCTTCAGTGGGGGATGTTGTAGCAAGAGTTGGGAGCAGTTGCGACACAATGACAGCGCTAACGGCAATGCGTGGACGGACTGCTCTAGCTAAGGCCTACGAAGAAAGAGTGGTCACATCCTACGATCGCGTCACTTCGCTTCTGGACCTCTTGACACGGTCTAAGGAGTCTAAGGCTAAGGATAAGGCCGCCGAGATAGATGATTGCATGCTTGTACTCGAAACTGTGCAGTGAAAGCATTGACTCGAGCCTCCCTTCAAGCACCGAAGCTGTGGAGGAGTATATACGCCGGTCACGCCAAGCGATTCTGCAGGCGGGTGCTTCAGCCATGTCTGGCTCTTTGCTTACAAGCAGCTGGACTGTGGACGAGACTTGACAAGTGCCTGAAACGATGTCAACTTTCTGTCATTCTACGTAATCTGTCTAGTTTCCTTCAACAACATAGCAACTTGCTCACGCCCCAGCACGCCGCAAGTCGTCTTCCCTCAGGATCAGCAGCACCTTCATCACCATCATCATTATCTTCATGATCGCCCTCAACATCAGGACCAGTACCAGTATCGGCATCGTCATCGTCGTCGTGGTCATCATCATCATCATCATCATACAGCACCATCACCATCATAGTAATCATCAGCATTAGCATCAGCACTATTAAGCAACGCCTGTTCGAGCGTTTTCGCAAGATGCGGCACAACTGACACCCGGCAGCAGTTACTCCACTCCTCCGAAACAGGTCCGGGCCTTCAATCGCGGATCCGTCTCAGTGGTTCCAGCACGCCCCAGCGCTGCAACATGGGGGTGGAAACAGCCGTTATTCTTTTCGTAGAAAGCCGCGCGTAGATTGCTGTGTGCGATTTTGGTCTATCAGTCTGTCACGCACAAGGCTTGCATAGGTTCATCTTCCGCACGGACCTGCTTTCTAAGCTTAAGTAAGAGGACTCGGGAAGGAAGGTCAGGTTGGAGTCATGGGCAGCACTCAATCGCTGGACTTCTCTCGACCAGCCCTCGTGTGGCAGGTATGTGCCGCGGTCTTTGAGCTTCCCAGCATGTACGACTACGACTTCAGGCAGGACCCAACAGATGTTGTCACCCGAGTGAGAACATCTCACTAGCTGACAGGTCCATGATGGAATGGAACGCCGCCAGCGGCCTGTTCTGAACTCAGCATCAACAGTAAGACTGCGACGGCTTTCGGTCTTAATTGGCCTCACCTCGCAGGCCCATGCCGAACCTCTCGCAGCCTATCTACGGGGCTCCGATTGTCTCGCGCGAGACACGGGAAGAAGCGGCTCGACGCTGCATTGCAACGGCTGCTTTAGGTTCTCCAGAAACCCGAAGTCTCGTCTGTCTTGAATTGCAAGAGGTCACCTCCGCTCTTGCTGCTTTGTTTGAGTGGCAGGTGGTAACATACCTCCTTGACATCATGGGGGCAGCTTGGACTGCAATAGCGCTCCAAGAAACGGAGTCAATGTAGCCAAAGTTTGCTCATGTATTTGCTTTCCGACGCAGCACTTGCTGCAGACATGCTATGGTGGATCCTTTCCAGAGACGTTAATTTCATTCACACTCGTCTTGGATGTTCCAGCCTTTATGCACAGATTTCTGACCACACATTGTGTGAAGAATGGATGACTATGAAAGGCGGGCTGCGGTTTACTCTGGCAATCAAGTTGTAAAGTAGCCGGGCCTTGGGCGAATATCGGAGGAAGTGTGAAGAGCGCGACATACAACGATCAAGCACGAGATGCGTGTCAGTTTTCATGGGTCCTCCCCACTAGAAAACCTTGCTAATCACTTAGCCAAGCATTGCCATCACGTCCTCGCCAAGCAGGATTCCTGATTGCACAGTGAAGAGGGGACGCGTCGAATCTGCAAATCCACACTTGTCCAATAACATCTTGGCACCGAGGCCCTAAATGACATCGTGAACGCTCTGGAGCCGGATTCCTTGGGTGCAGAGACCACGCAAAGTCGGCGGCTGCAGGACAACCAATCCTGAAATGTCCTGAACAGCCTTGGTGACGGCATGCTCGTTGCTGCGCCTCCATGAAGTCTCCAGCCCAAAGGACCTTGCTCACAACAGTGGAAGTGCGTAGTATCGATTCTATGCATGAGATTTCCATCTGGGATCAAGTAATCGGCATTCAGCAATCCCTGTAGCTCCTGGGAATCTTCGTCGAATCTTGGTACTCGTGCTGACTGCCTGGAGCTGGGCCGGTCCGACGGCTTCACGGCTTCGGCCCAAGTCTTTGAGCTTTTTCGGCAGACTTCCTTCGCAGGAGCAGTACTTCCAGGACACCACATCGAACACATCCACGCCTCTCCATGCAGAGGCCAGCAAGGCAATAGCTAGCAGCTGGTGTGAACAAAGCAGGCCGGCTGAATGGGATTCAGGCAAGGATTCAGGCAAGGTTGACTGGCTAGACCCTTTTCTACAAGATCTTGCACATGGGCTTCGGCACGTGCAGTCTAATTTTAACGCTACGCGGCCCGCCTCGGCTGCTGAGGGGCAGAGGGAGGCGGGCAGGGGAGCAGGGAAGGGGAGGCCCGGAGAAAGCCCGACAAGCGAGGGTGGCCTCGGCGGATTCGACCGGGTTTTTGCGGGGCCTTTTGCAGGTGGTTGCCTCCGCCCTGGCGCACTTGGCGAGCGCCTCTGAGTGCTTCGCCACGGTTCGCAGTTGCAGGTCGGAGGTGGGCGGTTAGAGCCGCCCTTCGCTGTGATCTTTAGGATTCAGGATGTGTTTCGCATCTCATAGAAACGGAGCCGGAGCCCATTCGGATCTGTTCCTCAAGTCCGTATTGCATTTGGCGCCATTGGCAGTCCAGGCGGCTCCTCACCAGCCAATCCACACACGCATGACTCACAACGAGGCTTCGAATCTGGCTCCCATCGATGAGCCCGAACTTTTCGTGTACCTGGGCCGTCTGACATCTGGCCGGCCACCCAGAAGCAGTAAATGGCAAGTGGCAAAGGTCTTCAATGTTGCAACGTGATGCTTTTCAGGCCTCGTTGTTCGCATCCGCAGCTCCCGAGGAGACATCAGGCATGGTGCATGGGAAAGCTGAACTGCGGCGTTGATTCTCAATCGTGAGTCTCCAGGTGCTTGTCTACAACTGCCAAAGCTTTGTCGATGTAGGGCGGCTAGGCTATAGAAATCATGAGAAAGGGGATCGAGGGTGGAACTTTGTCCGCTCCAGTCCACTCCCAGTCTGCCCGACATGAAGTTGTTGGCTCCCCGCCAGGAAGGCTGGCAATGCGCCGCAGGACGAAAACGCCTGGGAGTAGCAGGTCCTAGTTGCAAGTAACTTAAGTACTTGTAGAGGATACATGGGAAGAAAGGTGCAGAAAGAGCATGGTAGCAAGCATATGCACCTACGAGAACATGCGATGTATGTCACGAGTTTTTTTATTGTGCATTACGTGCTCACGTTCGAAGGACCTGGTCAAGACACTGTCCTATTTGCTGGCCAGCGCAAGGCTGGTCGTCCATATTTACGCACACCACATCGGATGCGGGCTAGATTATTTGCGCTCAGCAGATGAGAATGCACGCCCAGATGTGCACATGGCACATGGGATCACATGGGTCAGTGGTAGCCCCTCACATGGGCTTGGCTTCGATCATGGAAATCGAACTAACTGCTTCCAAAGGGACTGGGCAGCTCGCTCCAGCGGCCGAATCAGCCTCGAAGCTCCAGATAGGAGTTCGGGTTGGCCGCTGTGCGCAGGCTCCTTTTGGGGCTGTGAGATCTCCCGAGCTGCACTGTCGCCAACACATTGGCCCGCGTTCTGCTGCTGCCGCTGCTGCTGCCGCTGCTGCTGCTGCGGCGGCGTGTCGTTCTTCGATTAGATCAGGTGTCGGAAATTGCCGGTGCAGGACCAGAATGTACAATACAGTCACGCACATCGCTAGCAGTTGCTTGCGTCGCGCGGTTGTCATGTCTATAATGTTAGACTTGCTAGATTAGGTTAAACATGGGAGCTTCGGCGCTTAAAGTGCACGTGCCAGGCCTATTGACCGATGGCGGGAGGGCATCGTGGAACCCAACATTACGGAGCACGTGCAGGCGCCGGGAAGGGAGCGCCTAACGACGCGAGCTGCTGGCGGCCGAACTGTCGCCAGGCCCGGCTTTCCGTGGAGATCGTTGCAACGGCTGTGGCGCTGGGCGACGCCGCTCGTGCGCATAGAGCAAGCCTAAGGTCTGAGGCGTGAAGCTCAAGTTATGAATTAATTACCAGGACCTCTTGCGGATCAAGTTGCAAGACGACGGCAACTTTTGAAACATATATTTGCTCATGTTCTGCTGAAGTCTTTTGAAGCAAGCTGCTCTGGTAGCCGATCCAAGCTGTGAGGTCATGGCCGCGATTGCCGAGCCTAACGGTCCGCCAAGTGCCATCAAGCAGGCCGCCACCTTGGGACTCTGAGTTGATCTGTCTGCTTGAGCCTGTGAAACTCAGGCCATGCCCAAAGCCGAATTCCTGAACTCTGTGGGCCGAAGCCTTGGTTTCAAGCAATTGAGGTTCTCTGTTGGCTGTCCGCTCCATCGCTGCTTGTACCATCTTTCCCAATGCACACTGTTTGGCAAAGATGGCGACCTTGTCGTGACCATCATCAAGAAGCCCCTGCTCGACATCATCCAGAATGGCGTTTCTTCCTCGGCAGCTTGCGCAGCTGGATGATGCTGTATAGGACTTCTGACTAGCTGGCAAACGGCGATGCCTCTGCGATCCTGGTTTCTTTAGCATTGTTGTGCTTCTCGACGTGAGCAGCTATTGAATATAGAGTCCGGCAGTCGCGTTCGGTCTCGTCATGCCGGAGATAAGGCCTTGTGCAATCATGCGGCAGGGTGTCCGCACAGACAGGGTGTTACAGGGCATGATCGCGGCCTGTCCAGTATTCGGTGTGCACTAATTAAGATGCCCTTTGCAAGTATTCGGGGTGCACTAATTAAGATGCCCTTTGCATCGCTGTGCCCTGACAGACAGGACACACCTGCGGCAGGTATTCAAGTCGAATGTTGCTAGTGTAAAGACGAGGTCCAGACACAACCGGACTACCAGAGCATGCAACGCACGCGCCTGAATGTTGGCTGCTCGCATGGAGTTGCCCATCCTGCTGGCAGATTTTAGCGCTTTGTCTTGGCGATGTCGCGTTGCGAGGCTGGATCTATCCACAAATCAACATAGCAGGCCCGAAGTCCGCAGCTGCAGTCCGATGTGCAGTCGGTCGAACGGAGCTGCAGGCCTCGGCCCACCCGGCTTCATGGGAACAACCTGGGCTGGATCCAAGGGTATCCAAGCCAACCCAGATGCCTGGTCCCGAGTTGTCGCAGATTCTGCGATGTCCTGCGCAAAACGCTCGTGTAGCCGGCGAACTTGCCTTTGACTCCGAACGACTGGCTGGCCCAAGCCTGTGTGTGAGATGTACTCAGATGAACGTTACGAAGTTCAGATATGCGCAGATTCGGCCTCACATCATCGCATGGTGCCCCGGAAGGCGACAAGCCGAGAAGAACAAAAGCACTTGCCTGCTCCCGGAAGAACAGTTTAATTACACTTCACAAAAAAGGAGCAAAACCCTTTGTGTGTTCCCTGTTTGCCTAAGGAGATCCAGTGCCAGGAGGCGCAGGAGGGCTTTCTGCAGACCATCACCGCCGCCTCCTCAGCGAGCACTTCTCGCGCCCTGCCCCGAGCTCGCTCCGACACCGAGATGACGACCATCTCCTGGCCGATCAATCCCTTCCTCTACGCCACGGGGACCTACCTGGGGAAGAACGCCAGCGTGACAGTCCCGTGAGCCAAGCAGGGTCAGGGTTGGTGCTGGTGTGGCGTCTCAGAATTCCTTCCCGAGCGCGCAAGCTGCATTGAGTTTCAGGTACACGATTCAGCTCCGCTCTTGTGGCCAGCCCGTAGTGGTGGAGGTCATCGCGAACGGCGCAGATCAGCCTCTGCTGAACTTGTTTCATGCTTCATGCATGTGTCAGGAGCAAATCGGCAAGGTAGCTGACCCAGATTTGGTTGAAGGGGGTCGGAGATTTGAGAATGGAGGCCGAACTTGCCCTGCTTGTTATGCATAGCTCATTCGGCTCATTCAGACATGTCTTGCCTGCAAATTGCATTCCTGCATCCAGCTGTTGCAATCTGTGCGCACTACTGGCTGTTCAGCGAGTTGTTGAAAATGGACCGGCGGGGTAAATGGCTCCAAGCTTTCCCGTGCTGTGTTTGCAACCAAGATCGACCTCACCTTCCGGCTGGATCCCAGTGTGGTGCGTGACCGCCGGTGGGGCTTTCGTGACACCGCCCCGTGCCGGGCCTGGCATGTATTCAGTTTGTGTTGTGTCTGGCAGATGGGGCTGGCCCAGGTATCGTGTGGCCTGGTGGGAAGAAAGACCTGGTATCAGTGCCCAGGACGGGGTTCCCCATGGTGGCAAGCAGTTTTTCGTGCAACGGAATGCGTAATGAGAGGGAATGAGTACTTATTGCTTTCTTTGGAGCTCATGCAATCTGCTGAACAGATTGCAAACTGGGATCTTGACAATTCTTCCAGTGAGCCGCACTTTGCATGGGACATTTGTTGGTAACTCTCTGGAGGGAACTTCTCAGCAACTCCTTCAGTGGGAGTCTTCAGGCGGATCCGATCCAGCGATGGACCATCAAGGGTTGCAAAACCTTCTGGAGCCGGACGCAGGAGGCGCAGTGGGAAGTGCAATGGGCGATAGTGGGCATACGACGGCGTGTGCGGCAAACACAGCTTCAGGACATTGTCACTGCGGAATGCGACCAGCTTCCGAGCAGCCAAGGCGCCGTGGCTGCGAGTGTGAGAGCAGATGCGAGAAAATGCAAGAAAGCTTATGTGCAGCGCTTGTTGAGGGCTTAAAACCCAACATGCAGACACGCATGTTTCTCTCGGGCTTGAGACATCGTTAATCCCGGAAGGAATGTTGTATTCCTGAGGGTTGATCAAACGGATGTCAATGGCCTATGCGACAGAGCAGAAAAATCAGAGTCCAAAGTACAAGCTGACATGCTGAGGCAGAGTTGACAGATTCGGGATGTCAGAGTCAGGGCGCAGGGTCGGGGCACGCGGAATCATACTTTGAATTTGTGATGGGCCTGGTATTCCACAGCTGTGCTCTGGATTGCTTTGGTTTCACAAATGTTGATCAGAGCCAAGAATGTTTTCCCAGCACATTCATTATCATTCATTCCTGTTGTGCCAGAGGAACAATCTTAAAAATCATCTTCAGGCATGTGTGCGCAATTGCACATTCGGGATCAGAGATGTGGGTTTTGGCAAGCAGGCTCCGTGATGTCGGTGGAGCTGGTGTCTTGATCTCAGGGGGCTTCGTTTTGCGGAAGCTCCCTCCAACCATGACAGCTTACCCTTCCGAACCGTGTGAGAAGGTGAGACAGGTGGGAAGGATGCTGTAGTTGAGGCCTCGCCCGAACTACAATTTGGTGGGAGCTCCATCTCCGAACAGGACTGGCTCGCAGTTTGCACATTGGGACCGAGTGGGACATGACCTCGGAAGTCAAGTTTGGCTCTCTAGTGCCAGGAACGTTCACAATGTTGCCCGGACCCAAGCTCCAAGCAGAGTGCTTGTAGCTTCCAGCAAGCGCTGATGCCTCCAAGATTTCCTACATGCTGGTGGCCTTCCTTATCCGCTCCGAGCTCAGCTCCACTGAGCTTGGGCTACAAGCAGGCCGAGTGCAAAGTGAGCCAGCTAATTGCGTTTGAACACCGGCAGTCGCCGGCGGCCGCTTTCTCGTTTGCCACTCACGGCTGTGCGAAATTCGTTATCCTCCGGAACCTGGTCGGCAAAAACGCTTGCTGACTGTGCCTGCGCCCCGTCTCTCACAGTCTCTCTTCCGTTTCCATCGTACATGTAGTAGCATCGAAGTCCTCAGACCCACAATCCATGAACCGGAAGGGCAAACGTGGCACGAAATAAGCGGCGGCATGCTTTCTTCTCGTGTGTTCGGCTGCCAACTTCATCTTGTGTGTTGTGGCACGGTGTAGAGAACTTCGGTGTAGACTACGGTGTTTGCCAAACAGTGCTATGGCCTGTGGCGCATGCACAGCTCCGGCAAACGTGCAGCCGCGGAGGGGCGTTGGAAGCAGCTGCGAGGTTCCGCTCGGAGTCCGAAGTTGACGATTAATACGATGATGATCAGCACCGTCGCCACTGTCACCATCATCATCACCATGACTCGCAGAACTGCCCCAACATTGGCAGTTGCAATCTCGGACCTACCTGCAGTCTCATCCATGTCCACGGCCTCAGCCGGCACGTGCTTGTTTTTATGTAGCACACGTGTGTGCGCAGAAACGTGCGGTAACGGCGAACGCCGCCAGCACTCTGGCCCGAGCGGCGTTAGCTTTTCTCTTAGCTTTCATTCCTCGACGCTATGTCTGGAGTTGGTCGCGCCGAATCTCTCCCGTGCCAATGAAGCCCGCCCCAGTACCAGATCGTGGCATTCATGTCGCCGTAGAGGGCATTCGCGAGGTGCTGCGGGTTGGACGCCCGGGTGGATACCCGGCCTGGTCGGCCTTGGCGGCGCAGATGATGATGGAATACTATGGAGGATCGCACGGTGCTGATGGAGCCCATGGCGGTGATGACTATGAATGACGCCGCCCATGACGCCGCCCACCCCGCAGAGGTGACGACGCACATGACGGGCCTTTTCCTTGCCAGGACGACAGCGGATATTGAGGTGACCAGTACGGGGGCGGTGCCGTCTGCTTGGTCGGGCCAGGTGCAGTGGAACCCGGACACCATGTCGCAGACCTGCTTCGCAACATCGATCGGATGGCGGCCGAATCGGCGCTGGCTTCGGGCTCCTCTCCGCCAGCAGTGTGGCTGGGCACCGATGCTCACGGCGAGCGGGTGAGACTACCGCCGCAGGGTCCGACGAGGTCATCAACCAGGCTGCGTCGATCCTTATGGGCATCGGCGACACGGCCTTTGACCTCATGGCGCCCACGAACTGGTGACGACTTCACGGGCGGCGAGGAGAGGGCAACCTCTGCCGACCCATCACCGCCGCCGTGTGCCCAGGAAGGCTTAAGTTGCTCTTACAAGTCGCACGGCAAGGTCAACTATAATTAAAAGGCATGGCTGCCGGAAGAGTTGTAGAGAGCGACAGACAGCAGCCGCCCTGAAGAGTATCCTACGACGAGGTGTGGGCGAGCCGAGGCCATGGCTTCGTAGTGGCTTGGTGGCCGAAGAGCTTCGATTGTACAGAATGCACGAGTCCCCCAACACGAGGCATTGCACAGGCCCTTCAACAGGCTGCTGTACCACAAGACCCTTGCAGCAACAGTTTAGTGTTTGCACATGATCAAGTTCGACTTCTTGCCTAGAGCAACATCAAGTCTGCAAGTCGATCTACACATCCCGAGCGCCGTTGCCGTGATCATTGAAGTAGGACACACCAAAGAACGAATCTGGCGCTGGGTGCATGAATATAGACAGCCTCTCAGGAAGCGGCTCCCGAAGGACTTGCCACTCATGGATTGGGTGCGAGGCCGGCGAGGGATGGCGAGGATGTGGGGCATCAAAGGGCGCTGTCGGAGTCCTCAAGTTTTTCTAGGTTTCGGAATGAAGCGGAGATGCCTCACTTGTCCTTGCACCTCCGGGCGCTTATGGTCATGAATCCCCCCGCCTCTGTCATCGACTCGATTATGGCACCTCAGGCTCAACAGACCAGCCGGTGCGTCAACCTGGCCGACGAAGGGTTTAGCCGCCTCGTGCCCGAACAACATGCATTCTCCTGCGAAGACGCTTCCGCATTTACGCTTCCGCATTTCCGAATCTCGCTTCCCGGTGCCAGGTGTTTTGCTCCCTGCGCTGAACCGCGATGCTGCGCGGCAAAGCCTGAGCTGGTTTTCCAAACGTCAGGCGCGAGAGCGAGAAGCTACGAGGATTGTCCTTTCAGAACAAGATGCAACAGCGACAACCTAGCATATTTGCGCGAATCTTGCTCCAGCTGCTCTACCACCTGCTGCTGATCTATCCGCTACTTAGTCCCCATAGCACTCTGTGCTGCATTGCAGGTCAAGAAAGTGGCTTGGCTCGTTTCGACCGTTTGGAAAGGTTGAGGGCGCGCACCCATTCTGCCTTCAAGGTTTTTTCGGTGTCGGGCTGAGTGGAGACATGAGTCCCTGATAATGCGTGAAGGATATTTGCTGTGTTGGTTCTAGTGTCAATCCACACAAAATAGTGAACGTCGGGGTTGGATGGACAAACAATCTGTTGCTGTACGCTTGCGTGTGTCAGCAGCGCTCCTGCTAGAGTGATCAATCGATGGAAGCGCCATGCAGGCATGCATCCTCTTTGAAGTTTGATTTTGTGCGTACTGCTGGCCAAGCATGTTTCATTTGTTTCTGTGCTTCTTGATGCCTAGTGCGGGAGCTTGTTCCTACGTGCCTGCGTTCTCTAAACATATGCATCGCCGTTCGAGCTGAGGCAGCCGTGGCTTAGGTTCATTGACGAGTGCGTGTAGATGCCCTCGACCACGCGGGAAGTCTCTGCGGTGACATCAGATTCTGAGGTCTATCATGCTGTTGTCTTCGGGCATCCATCGTGGCCTCACGAATGTGCTCTTTCCGAGCCGCTGCAGGGCAAGGCTGCTGAAACCATCGTCAAGGCTGCCGAAATTGTCGTTATCACACAATCTGTGTTGGTGCGACCACCTTGCATCTATACACAGGGCCAAACACGAGCAGGTGCTTCGTTTCGGCAGCTGGGCTGCCGAAGCCTGGCAGCAGTAACGAGAGGCAGAACCCGACTCCCACAGCAAGACCGGCCTTACCAATCCAGACGGCCGAAGCCCGAACCTTCCCAGGCACGGCCCTTTGCTGTGTCGATGGTTGAGATCTCGCCTCAGACGGGGCGCACACACCAGCATGAGCCTTAGTCTCCCTACTTAGAGCTTGTGGCCCTCATGAGCCGTTCGAGCTTTCCGTTGTGGCTGTTGGTGCTACATTACATGCACTAGTCCGATACGTCCTGCAATTACACTGAATGGCCCGGTTCAGTTGCATAAACAATCGCTGGGCTGGACTGCAGAGCTGTTGTGGTGCCACGGACATAGTGACGCAGCCGCCTCTGGCAGCAGCCGTGTTTCGCTCTGAACGGTGAAGCAATTTTCGCACCAGCCTCTGTAGCAGATGTTGGGGCGCCGACTGAATTTAACGCAATGCTATTCTCATTGGGCAGATCAGGTTCAGTCAGACCAGGCTTGCCACAGTTTGCAATCCTCAGAATCTTTGTCAACAGTGCGGCACTGTGTGCTAGCGATGTCTTGGGGCACAGCTGTGGTTGATCGTTAGTTACCGTTAGTTGTCGTTTTTCCGGGAAGGCCCGCGATCTCGTTTGAGACATGCGTGAGTGCTGCAGGTGTTTTCCGAAATCGTCTGACTGCCGCAACCCGAATCCCTTCGCCAAGCTCTCGTTGTGCGTTTTTGAAGGACAGGTGACAAATGTGCCTTCGAGCCCTTGGGCTTCGTCGAGTACGCATGGTACGCACTCTTGCAGAACAGCAAAAGGGACTGGAGCACCGCGTCGCTGAAAGATGTTGGAAGCCCCTACAGGTGTCCAGCCCCTGTTGCCGCCTTTTCTGTTTAGTTCTTCTGTGGTTTAAAATGCGCGATCAAGCTTCGTTGGGCAAAATTGTCGGGTCATCAACCGTCAGGCGGTGGGTCCAACCGGCTATCATCCATGCGCAGCCAGCTGGAGGAACACCGCCTGTTCCAAAGTCTTCCATTTTTTGAAACTCCCTCCTGTGGAGTGTCCGTCTCCACAACTCAATGCCCTAGCCAAACTCATGCATAAAACACCAGTTCTCTAAGGAGGAATATGATTCAGACGGGCACGTGGGTCCCCCTTTGCTGGGCCGGGCCTTCGAGCCTCACCTTGAGGATCGGTGCCCGGCTTTCTCGAGGACACCAACAAGACCGCCTGGTAGCTCCTTGCGTAAGGCATCGTAAGGCATTCCCGGGATGTGCTGCTCGTGCCACTTGCAGAAGATGCTCGCGAGGGGACGCCATCTGGGCATGTAGGGGAAGCTCTCAGATCGGTGCCCGGCCCTACCCACTCTCTGCATGGTGCTGGCGCAACTGTCTTTCGCGTGGTGGCAGAAGGACGACCAATTGACGCAGGAGAGGTTGGCAGCGCTGTCCGAGTTCTTCAGGTGTTCTTAGAGGTTCGAGGCAGGAGAATTCGCAAGGTATCTTTTGTTTTTTATGTCCTTGACTCCACTGGTGTGTCACGTGATCGCTAAGCGAAGGTCAAACAGCAAAACGCCCAATGGATTGGCGCGACAGACCATGGCTATTCTCCTCACAGCCCACATGCAGCCAACTCGGCCAGTCATGGTTCTGCGCTGACGGGGTGAGACAAATGCGAAGATCCTTGCTGCGCCTTTCTCAACCAGAGACAACCTCGGATTCTCTTCTTGCAATGCTACCGCTGTCGAGCTGGGCATGCTCGGCCTGGCTGTTCTTCCGCACAGCGGACATCCAGGGCCTGATCATGTCGTGGTAAAACACGACGGAACACACTCGGAGTGTGCGTATTTTTCTGCCGTGCCGGCTTCCCTCCAAGATGGCAGTTTTTTGCCTTGCGGCCCGCACCGCCGTGCTGCTATGTGCTGCTTCAGCACCGGGTTTCACCGTCTTCGCTCTCACCCCTCGTCAGCGGGATCGCGTTGAAGATGAGGAGCGTGCCGAGATGCTGCGATGCTGTATACATCTGCATTGTTGCTGTTACACACGCGGTGGTTCGATCAGGGCGCGCTGAACATCATGCCGCAAAGCTTCACATGGGCTTGAACCTAGTGCGCTCTTGCCGCGAGCTGCGAGCACGCATGTCGCGCACAACTAACATGAGATCAGGTGCGTACGCAGCCTGTAACGTTTTTCAGGTGGGCGTCCCCTCCCGCACCACAATGTTGACTCGGGAGGTACAGCGCGGTGCTGGAAATGGCAACAACGGCTTTTTGGGGCGAGGAATGCTAGTCACTAGTCTTTCGTCGCTGCATGTCGCTGCGTTTTACACAAGCTGCAGTTCGACCACGGCGCGCTGAGCTTCTTGCTGCAATAGCAGCTTCAGCAGCAAGACAAGTCTCGCACGTGTGCTTGAATTTTCGAAGTTTCAACAAGTGGGAATGGCAGTGGCGAAGATGACGATGCTGGTGATGGCGATGCTCGGATTACGATGCTGGTGCTGACGATCTGGGTTAAATTCGGTTGATTACTGATTCTGAGGACGATGTCAACATTGCTGATGGTGATCACGAAGTCGAACGTGACGGAAGCAATGGTGGCATTGATGGCTGCAGCATTGCCTTTTTCGGGGGATGGTTGACTTGTTCGTGCTGATGCTGCTGGTTGCTTCTACTGCCGCAGTGTTGCGTCCTCTGATGTCCTGCATCTTCTGTCGAGCCTGCTGCCAATCAGTCCTGGTCGCAGGATCCGTCTCCATCTCGCGATGGCAGGACATCCGATCATAGGCCAGGTTGATGGAAGCACGAGAAGTGTGCAATGCAGACTCGACAGTGTTTCGTTTGAGTGTGGTTTGTGCCGGCACTGCTCTTGGCATGGGAGCTGGACATCATACCAAATGATTCACCAAATCGTTGCTGTTGACAAAGAACAAAAAGCACGGCAATGTGACAGGACGCACATTGCTTCCTGAAGAGTTGTTGCAGTTCACAGGGGATTTCACCATGCCGGAGGTGACCTTGATTATTCGACACCGTTCGCACATCACGTCTACTACAGGCAGAGCCGGCGTGCCTTCTCCAGCACAGTCCACATTGCCGTTTTGGGCAATGTGTTTTTTTGTGCGAGGCTGTGTTTGCACGCCTCGAGCATCAGCCTGCCATTAGATGATAGCATGGCCGCTTGGTTGAACTTCTACCTGATGTTCTGGGATTGCATCAACGGAACAATTCCAGGACTCTGAGGTCAAGGTGAAGTGAAGCATCCTTTTGACCCGCTGCTCCGCGACATGCACGAGGACAACAACGGCAGCATGCCATCTGTCACTGAATGAAACGGGAACCTAAGTGACCGACCAGGTTATCGGCATTGGTCAGGGTGGTCCTAACAGGTGGCTTGAATGACAGCGGGGCAAAATTCCAGTTCAATCAACATGTTCGCACATGCACCGATGTACTTCTTGCAGGAGGTGGAAAATCTGGTCATCCCGCCTTTCTGCGCTGACTTGTGCAGTGACTCACATGATTCGCAAGAGGCTGAAGGAGGAAAAGTGGTTCGACCGTGCAAAGCTTTCAAGACCAGGTAGTGTTTGGCCGAACAACTTGCGCACGGTTTGGACTCCAAACTTCCCTTTACGACTGCTTGTGCATTTAGATGTAGCGCTCAGTGGCTGGTGTCAGTCGTCGTGGCGTCTGGCCTAGGCTGGGTGACCCTTCTGGTGTGGGCTTACCGTGCTGATGTGCCGGGCACCCTGGGCCCTAACTACTTTGTTGTTACCGCTCTCGACGAAGTCATATTGATCCAGAAGTCTTTTCTTAGGGGTAGGTCGCCGAGCCATGTGCAGTCGCATTTTGCTGCAAGTTGCAGGGCCTCTGGAAGAAGTTGGGTTTGCCAGTTCTTTGAGAAGTCCTAGGACCTTCTGGCCGTCGGAGAAGCAGCTCATGAAGCTCCTATACTTGCCCTGGGAGCGGAAGTGGCGGGAGCGTTAGGGCCTTGCTTTGTGCTGCGATGATGTCCGATAGCAAGAGAGATCACCTTCGCCGCTGCGTCACCTTAGACTTGCAGTGTTACTCAACTTCGTGGCTGCAGCAACCCCGAAAACACGTAAAGCCGACAATACACACATTCGGATGATGCATTGTGGTTACCGATCACAGGCTTTACAGTTTTACAAGCAGTGTTGGCCTTTGCGATGCTCATAAGTACCAAGGCCTGCGTCGCGGCCGATTACCACCTCCGGAGCGGGGAGGGCAGGGGTTTGGTATTTCAAAGAAGGCGCAGGCATTGGCAGAAAAAGCATCAGAATCATCATTTGTGATCATTCCATTCTCGAGGTTTTCATGAATCGACAGCTGCACCTGAGACTTTCTGCTCCAGGAGCCCATTACTTGGAATGTTCTGACCGGAGATTTTTGGTATCAGACAAAGATGCTGTGGCCGGAGACCTAGTGCCCAAGTGCGAGCTGTCTTGCACAAAACATTCGTTTCACGACGGGCGCCGTTCAGAAATTTTGCCGCAGCAATGCACCACAGTGGTCTGTCACAAATCCTCCTTTTGGGCAGCCCCCTGTGAATTCCGATCTCGATCCATAAGCCATAAACTCTGCATTCATCGGGACAAACACGAGAATAAAAAGGTTCGAACTACCCAAGTGCCGAGGATCGACCGCATCATCTGGACCTTCTGCTGCGTGAAAGCGCTCAAGGGCTCCGAGCTTTTCTTCTCGGTTGAGGCGGAATTGCAGCACCGACAGTGCCTGAGCCGCTCAGAGACTTCTGCTTTCAGTGCAACAACGATTACAACTGAAACTACAACATGAACTGTTACTCCTGCTCCTGCTCCTGCCACTCTACTGCTACTACTCTACTAGTGCTAGTGCTAGTGCTAGTGCTAGTACTAGTACTAGTACTAGTACTCCTGCTCCTTCTCCTGCTCCTATCCCTACTCCTACTCCTACTACTACAGCTACCACCACCGCCACTACCAGTACAACCGCTACTGCTCCTCCTCCTGCTCCTGCTCCTGCTCCTGCTGCTGCTGCTGCTGCTCCTGCTCCTGCCCCTGCTGCTGCTGCTGCTGCTGCTCCTGCTCCTGCTGCTGCTACTGCTGCTCCTTCTGCTACTGCGACTGCTGCTGCTGCCACGGCTACTACCAAGACCAAGACCACCACCGCCGCCACCTCCGCCACCTCCGAGCACTGCTGCCACCTACTTATCACCACTACCACCCCTCACCACTACCCCACCCCTTCCTTCACTACCACAACTACCACTACTGCCACCACTACCCCCTCCACTACCACCTTTGCTAGCAATTCCAGAAATCGTTTGGCCCTGCAGCAATGTTCGGATTTTGCTTTGTTGAGCATCTGCTATGTAGTTTCCACTTTCCAGCTAGCCAAGAATACCGCATCACAGCTAGATAGTTTTACGCATAATAAGTCCGAATAAATATTAGTTGAACCTTACTTGTGTACGAATGTCTCCTGAATACGGAATACGGTAGGCCGACTAAATGAGAAAGATGTAGGCGAGCTAAACAAACCCCTCGACTTGGAGTGTCGTTGACTGCACTCGCAATCCCCTCAGTACATCCCGAAAGATACAACCGATCCAAGCATGACTTTTCGAATGATGGTTTGGCGGAAGCAGCCACACAGACCTTGCTGTAGACTCCTGACAGTCCATTTCATCGCAACCCACGGTTGCAACATTTCCAGATACTTCGCACACAAGCCGGTTTTATGCTAGTATAAATCTCCTCGTGTATTTCTTGCAAGCAGCTTCCCAGTCCCATTAGCTCATGGGTAACGCGTTGATTATTGCCAACTATTGCTTTAACATGGCATGACTTGCGCAGACGCGAGAATTGATCAAGATGCGGGTGCCTGAGGCTCTCGTGCGTGTCATGCAGCTCCCTGCAGGTTGAACGGCCGTGCATCCGACAGAACACAACCCCATATCGTTTAAGCGTTGCAACTGGGAATCGGATCCAGCACTCGCAAGTGGGGCCGAGCACGTCCCGCCAGGGACGAGCGTAGCCGACACCCTTCTTACCGCTCATGCAAGTCTGGGAGGGTGCCTGCCGAGGCGTTCTGGAGATCGTGACACAACCTATGAGAGGCAAGCTCTTCTTCGTCTTGCATAATTACGGATCTAGACGGATCTAGACTTCGGCAACAAACATGTCGCCAGCGCCTGAAAGGTTTGTTGACTCCATGAATGACAAGGACTGTTATGCAATTCGTTTTTCATCCACTTGGGATTCAGCTGCACAATCCGTGAACTGAAGGATCAGCTGGACAAAATCCAATATGTTAAAGAACAGCGAAGCCACTTGTCTGAACTTCTAGACCAGACCCCTCTGGCTCCATTGCAGCTTAGATGTGGTGGCGTTGTGCCAGTATCTCGGCCTGTCGACTGCTCTTGAAGCGAGGCCTGGCAGCGAGCCAGAACCAGCCAGACAGCATGAACCGGAAAGCGGCAAGGCTCCGAGGTGCTGTCCCATGCAGCAAGCGCGCACGGAACGCCTGAGCCGGCGTAGTATGGGACCATGTGGGACCTTTCGAGACGCCCTGTGTAGAAGGTGTCTGCCTGTGACCTGAGCTTCGTGCTCATCGCTTCTTTCGAGGCCTGGCAAGACAAGGGTGCCGTGGAGGCGCTCCAGGACCAAGAGGCCGCCGCTGCGCTGCGAAGCTGCACTGCCCTGCCACTGTAGCGATGCGCTTAGCATCCCAGTTCGGTGAGATTCGGTGAGGGGCTCACAGAAGCTCCAGATAGCTCCAGAGCATCTTTGCGGGTACCACGGTCTTTGGCGGATGCTGAGGGAAGCAGCCGTTGAGCTTGATTTTCTGAAGGAAGACGAAAGATGTCAGCAAGGTTGAGGCTCCCTGTCTGGGCAGGTCAGCTACAGGGACCACCATGCAGATGCAAGTGGTCAGAGCTCACGGATACCATCGCACAGGCACCGTTTCAAACATAGCCAGGGGTTCTGGCTAGTCTTTATTTAGCTTATCAGGTCTAAATTGAAGGATTCTCACAAGATGTTCTACGTGTTTGCTGGTCCGATCGCAGCTCGCAGCCTTTTATGATCTGAGCGCGAAGCGGTGCCTCGCAGGGATCCCTACTTAGATGGACCTCCGCTGTCACGGCGCAGAACCGAGACGACTTCAGTGATGAGTCTGCATGGCAAGACCCTGCTAAGACTCCTGACACGGAGCTGTGACAGCTTAGCGGTTCCAAGGTTGCACGGCACGGCCAACAACGAGGAGCAGAGGCAAATCCAGGTGCAAGTGCTCAGAGATGGCGAAGCTTCGTTGTCGTCCAGTCTGAGAATGTAGCATCCCGATAATAGATCGCATATGCCTTGGTGCCGTTGCATTTCATGTGCCAAGTGGCAAAGCGAAGCTCGGCCAGTGTGTTGTCAGCACGGCTTTTTCCTGGCGAGTCGCTTAAGACAACGGATGCCCACCGACGGGCAACAACAATCCAAGCTCTTTCCCAATGCGTTACAAGCAACATGTTGCAGGATTGCATCGAATAATCACGCCTTTCATGAGGCTTGCAGCGAGCTTCGGTGTTGCAGACAGATACTTCGTTTCGTCTCATTCTCTGTCAGTAAGGTTCGGTAGAGCATCACCAGCACCTACCGAATCATCGAAAACTGAAGCTGGAAGATTTCGACTGGGCTCCTAAGCATACCGTCATGGCATGATACTACCCACCCCTTCCTGGACGGGGACGGAGCTACAAAAGACTCTGGTGAAATGGCGATGTGCTGTCGAAGCAGCACTCCGAGTCCGTTTGGTTTCTTGTGGCTAGTTCCCGACTCACCGATTCTTCGAACCGTATCTTCGCGGGATGTTTCTCATGTTCACACAGGATGCGGCCGTGCGCACTGGGGACGCGCATGGAGCTCAAACAGCAGGCAGTGGAAAGTTAAAACCTCATTGGCAGGCGGCTTGAAAGTGTGTTGTGTAAGATCAAAGGCTCCCCGGTCAGATCATAGAACTTGGAATGGCCTGTGTTCTCCATGAAGCTGTTTTCACAGATCTCACAGCGCTGAGCAGTCGGCCAAGGCCTGGAACTGGGCCGGTGATGCCAGCACAGGGTCTGGAGGCGGGCACGTGATGTGCAAGTTTGTGGATTCTTTACACTTAAATCCTTCGGAGGATTTCAGGTTGCATTGGTGAAATCTCCTGGCAACAGAAGAGGGAGTTTCGTAGTGATGTCCCGCTATGTTCATGGCCCGACGACATCTGGAGCTCGTTTTCCTGAATCCCCTCGTCCTTTGCCTGACTTTTCCTATGGTCTTATGCAATGCAGCTGACAAGTTTGCAGAATTGAAGGGGGGTCGGCTCGAACTGCAGATTTTGGCATGGATGATACCGGCTTACGTACGGTCAAGCAGTATGGACATTTTGCATAGCATAGACCTTTGATGAAACTGTACGACCATGGCTGTTGCAGGAGATCGATGCCCAGGACAAGGCGCAGGCCGGTCAATGAACAGATTTTGCGATACCCCAGATTTCTTGGATTTTTTGTTCTGGCCTCTTCGTCCTTTTTGCAGCCTTGCTCGATTTCCTTGTTGGAACGTCACCTGGCAACTTGAGAGTCGGACCTGGCGGGCTCGCGAGGCAGCGCTGGAAGCAGCGCTGTATACGTCCAAGGCCGCGTCTTCTTGAGAACACGGTCGCACGTGTCAGTCACAGTCCACCAAGCTTCCGTGTCTCATTCGTGCATAGTGTTTCGTTTCAGCCTGCTCTATTCGATTTGACCCTGGAGGTTGGTGACCTGCCTCCTGGTTGGGAGGAGTATGTCTCAGAGGAACATGGAGGCTCGCGACATTTCGGAAGTTTGATCACGTGCCAATCGACGACTTGCCTTTGACGATGTGTACTATGGCTAAGGTTCGCGGCATCGGTTGGGTCATTTGCCGCTCTTAGCAAAGCAGCCCAGCCCGTGACAGACCAGAAGCCTCCCTCAAGAGAGTCAGCCTAAATTCCCGTGACCCTCACAGCCCCAATCTGCAGTCTGCGTAATGGGAAGACAGCAGCTGGTGGACGGGATAAATGTACTGCTCTGTGGCTCGCGCGTGTGATATACAGGCCGTGTCTACTATGTGTTCTCGCAGACTGGCGTGCTGCCGGCTCCAGTTGATGGAAGAGTCAGCAGTCAGATATAAGCCGCTTGTGGTCAACAGCCACAGTCTGTTGGAGCAGCCAGAGGTTGGGGCTTGAAATTGACCTGGTTCACGACCCATTTCGGACCTTTTGGCACGGACGCCTTATCAGACCCCACACATTGTGGCCCAATGCATGTCATATCAAACCCAACTACCCGCCATGTTGTGCCACGAGCTGCTGCCCGCTAAAGGTCTGAAATGGTCGCCTCAACGAAGCCGATGCTTTTGACATCAGTGTTAAAATGACTGAGCAGGACACTACATGGCAGCGGCCAACTCTCCTTCCAGATGGCACTGTGCAGTTCTTTCCCAATCAGGACGGCTGTATTTGTGTGTCATGATCATCGGTTGTCGGTGAGGGTATTGTGCTGTGTCTTTCAAAGGGTATGAGATAATGTTGGCATTCATTTTCCTGTGGCTTTTTGCAGGACGTTTCATCCAAGGCCAGCAGAAGCATCCCGACCGCATTTGCACCCAAGCAGTACGCCGAATTTGACCAGTCCCCGAAGCCTGAGGTGGCTCCAAGCTCGCAGACCCCCGAGGCACGACGTTTTTACAAGTGCCGTGGACATCTCCGCCCTGGTAACATTGACACGTCAAAACACGAGAGGACCTAGCTGCCAAATTCAGGTCATACTCGTCCGCTGGCCTGTATCTGGGCCAGTGTAGCATTCGTTTCATGCAACTTGGAGGAAGAGCATAGAATGCAGGCAAAGGCAAGCTTGGCTCGCTGCGCAATGCGGCAAAGGCCGCCAAGACCAAGGATGTCAAGGCCTCAGACATTTCTGCAACCATCTCACTTGTCATTCATAGGTGTAGGAACAGGCGTGGTAAGCTTCCGACTCTGCAAAGCTTGTCAAGGCTGAAGCGGCCACGCTGAGCCCTCCCGGGACAAGGCACTGTCCCCAAAGCATCGCATGTTGCACTTCAGCTGAAGCTTGGGATTTTCAAGCTTTGGCCATAAGAGGCCAGTCCTAAAAACGATAGTTCCAGATTCGCCGGGCCCTGATCTCGACTGTTCAACGCCTTGGAGAAATTACACGAGGGATGACGCCTGCGCCTGCGCATTCCGATTTTGAAGTGTTTGGCCACACGCAGACGGAAACGTGCTTCCGGGGCCTGTGCTTGCACAGATGCCCATGCCCCATAAACTGCTCAGAGGCCCAGCTGTGTCTGAAGGACGTGGCTGTATCAACAAGAGGTTGCGAGCCATGAAGTGCCTCCGTATTAGCAGACCGTTGCACTAGCAACAATCTGGGAACCTTCTGAAGGAATTGAAGACGTTTGGTTTCCACCGGCCAAGTTTTCCAGCTTACTGATGCATGTTAGCTAAACGTCAAAAACAGCAAATAGATGTTGTTTCAGGGATGTCGTGACAGACTGTACAGGCACCTGACTTCCCGTGTTAGCAAAACACTTTTGCACGTTCTCTTTTGTATATAGAGCAACATGCCAACATGTGTGGAGGGGTTGTGTGTGTGTGGGTGTGGGTGTGGGTGTGGGTGTGGGTGTGGGTGTGGGTGTGGGTGTGGGTGTGGGTGTGTGTGTGTGTGTTTGTGTTTGTGTTTGCGTGTGTGTCATTAGTGTCTGAACAAGCGCCAACAGCGTTCAGGATGGAAGCTGAGCATGGAGCGCCGGCGCCAGGCAAAGCTGTGCAGTGTTTGTGTGGTAAGGCAGGAAGCAGCGCCAGCATGCAGCAGCCATTTTGAAGCGTGCCAAAAGTTCCGGCAAATAGCAACCTGACTTGCCAGAAAATTTCTGCTGGATCCCGACACCGTCCTGAGAAGGGGTAGCTGTCGAAATCTGTTGACACGCAGGTGATGACGACCTAACGCCCATGGAGCGAGAAAGCGAGGCTGGAAACTCCACTGCTCACTCGGAATGTCTGCCACTTTTCAAAGCTAGAGTAGCAGCAGAAGGGCAGCAGGGCAGTGTGTCGACTTTTAAATGCTGATCTCGTGATGCTCGTCTGTCGCATTGTCGACAGCAGTCATCCGAGCATCCTTAAGCACCACATGAGTAGAAGTGTCTGGGCGGTCCATGCGTTTTCGTTTCTGCTCCGCTGAGAGGTGCCACCGTTCAGACGACTGCCATTGCAACGCGAGGCTCGCCGCACGAGATGGACTATACCCCAAACGCAAGAACTGATGTTACTTTGCTCTTGCCTTTTGGTGCAATTACGTGCATGAGTTTTGGTGTGCAGTTGGAGAAGCATTGGATAATATTGAGCAAGCGGCACACAGCTCTGCCGCGGCAAACTTATTGGCAACGAGGATTTGAGACGCCAGGCGAGTGTTGTCGCTTCGGCCACAGTCCTTGTTTAGGTACTTTTCTTGCGTGAGCGCTGTTCCGTGCTCACTTTAGGAATGCTGTGATCGCACCTCGAATCGAAACCACCCTGAACTTCGTTTACTGCTGTAAAGGCAAAAGGCATGACGGAGTAATGCGGAGCTGCCTGTCCATTTATTTGACCACTTTCTCAGGCCCACCACGGTGCTCCCGAGCCCGGTGCGTCCCTGGCCGGGGTCACGAAGTGAACATTTTGAAGGGTGGGCTGCGTGTCCATGAGTGGTGAGTCGACTTCTTACCTTAGTTGCTATAGAGGCTGGAGAGAGCCGGAGGGAGACAGAGAGAGAGAGAGAGAGCCCAACCGTAGCCATTTTGGCTCAAGTCGACCCGCCGCTCTCCCCTGGGGGGGCGCCTAAGGCCGGCCCTCTGAGTTAGCTGGCTGTCCCCAGCTTTCTCATTGGGTGGACGTGCCCTGGGCGGGGGGAGGCTTGAGGCCAACCGCTGTCGCTGTTCGGTTCCAGTGGCCCAAACCGGGGGTAGTTCGTGAGCCATCGTCCTCAAAGGCAAGTCCGTGATAACTTTGACTCTGACGGGGACATAGGCACTGCAAGTTCCTCTCCGACAACTTTCTTGCGGAAAGGGGGGCGGCCCATTCCGAGCTGCAGGCCTGTTCGCTCCTCAAGACAGTGTGCTCGCAGTACCAGCTCGCTGGGCGGGGGAGTATACCATCTTAACGGTCGTGATATTGGGCATCGACCGCGACATAGTGACGATCACGATGGGGGACTGCAAGCTGTGCAGGCTTGCTTCAGGAGTGTGCACGGTGGGGATGCGGAAAATACACGACCGCACCGACCCAGCATGCAGACTATACGGGGTGACTTCAGCAGCCACAGCCTCACCGAAAGCCCGGAGTAGAAGTCCACCGCGAGAACAACGGGGAAGCCCTTCCACAAGTACTGCCCAGACGTGTCGGGGGGGAAGCAGCCCGACCTCAGCCAGACCACTGAGCGAGCTAACAGGCTTCCGCACCCGCAAAGGAGTGGTGCTTCTCTATGATCCCGATCCACTGGATGCCTGGATCGGCAAGGTGATTGAGAAAACCAAGGAGGGGAAGTACATGGACACAGAGACCGGCAAGGCCCTTTCCAAACAAGGGGGGAAAAAATACGTGGCTTACCTCCAGCGCCATGAAAGCCGCAATGAAATGGCGCG